GTCGACTACATGGGAGGCCAGCAACATAGCCATTATGGCTACTGCTGGTCCCTGAATTCTCATAAGTCTATGGCCTGTAGTAGTAGTCTCACTTTTCAGGGGAGTTAATAAGCCTAAAAGTCCAAGTCAGCTAAGTGGCAGCGCCTTGGTACTCACTTCAGTATCTGCAACCAAAGACCATATTCTTGACCCCTCCATTCAGAAAGAGTTTTAAAATATGTTACAAAAATGCATAGAGCCAACAAAGGTTCTGTAGCCAAAGTGTTATTCATGATATTGCATTTGGTGCTTACCAGCTCCCCTAGGAAGATGGCTAAGAGATGCCACATAACTGAACACTTGTACTGATCCCTTTAAAGTATACACCACTGACTTTCAGTTCCTGAAGAGGAGGAAAGAGGCCTTTTTGCCTATTTTGTATTAAAGTGCAGATACCACATAGGACAGGTGCAAAGTAGTCTGGTACCACCCAATCCATCCATTTACAATATTCAAGAAGTTTCCTTAGCACTTACTATGTTTTAGAAGGGTATATGAAAATAAAACAAGGTTTTTGCCCTCAAAAAGCTTCAATGTGTGGGACCAGCAGTTAACGTAATGGCTATGTCACTGAACTCCCATATACTCGACCGTGGTTCAAGTCCCAGACCCAGTGGCTTAAACTCACACCGGGCATGTGTGTATGCACGCCCAGGATCCTGAGAAGAGAATGGAGGACAAGGGATTGCGGTGCGGCCATCCCCCCTGGGGGGTGGGTTCTCGCTTTCTGTCTCTCTGTCTTTCTGGTGAGCGTATGAGCCCTATAGCAAAAACCTCTCAAAAAAAAAAAAGCTTCAGTGTGTCAAGTGCTATGGGAGAGATATGACACCACTTTGGAAACACAGAAAAGTTTGGAAAGAAAAAAGCAGGCATTTTCCAGGGAAAAGTGGAAGAGGGTAGTGACCACAGACACAGAGGCTTGCGCTGTGCAGCACATACTGATGTAGAAAAGAAACCCAGAGCAGCTGGAATCCTGCGGTGTTCAGGGGTGAGAAGTGGGGAGTACAGAGTTGAAGCCAGGTCAGTAAGACTCTTGGAATCCATACTCAGTAAAAACCTAAATACAGCAAACTTCCTATCTCGAGAGCTCACAGTCCACTGGGAAATACAAGTCTGCCCAGATAAGACAGGGTTGCCACAGGCACCTCTGGGATACAGTTAAGGCTCTCCAGACTGCACCCTGGGAAGAGACGATTTAGGGCCACCTTCTGAAGGAGTTTAGGCTTGAGGTGAATCTGGAAAACAGAGCAAGTCACAAAGGGTATAAGCCAGGTGAAGGAGGCTTTATTTAAGGATGCTGGGGAACTATTTACACTTTTTAAGCCAGAAAGAAGTATGAATAAAAGCCATTATATATATATATATATATTTATAAATATATATATATATATTTCTTCCATGAGCAAAAGAGAGAGAGCTGGG